AGAGTTGAGCATCAAACAACAGGAGAGACAGAGTTAGGAAAAGGGTAAAAAGTTAAGATGGACATTAAACAATCCTTATAAATAAGCTCTATTTAGCAGACGTCTGATGAAAGCCACCTCTGTGCCTCCTTCATTCACATAACAGATGTCTGTTGACAAGGACAAAGTGCCAGTCCCAGTGGGGGAGCGAGAAATGGATGAAGTCATCTTTGAGAATTAAGTCTTTTCTTTCAGGAGTCTAGAGTATCAAGTAGTTTGTAAATATTTAGCACGGTTAAGTTAGAGCACAAGTTCATTACTATCTAAGGACAAATGCTAATACTATAACTACAAACTGTAGAGCCATTTGTTCTTCTTAACACTTATTTTGAAAATTTTAAATTGTCGTTCAATTGTAGTTGTCCCATTTCACCCCACTGCTCACCTGTGGCCTGCCCACCCCCCTCCTCGATACTCCCCAACATTGACAACCTGTTTTTATTCAACCACAACAAATCTAATGCTGTATGAATGCCTGGTATAAATTTAGAAATCCTGTTTCGTATTAGAAGATGAGAGAGATATAGTTTCAAAATCCATATTTTATTGTTATTCTTTACATTTTGTTCAGAGAAGCATGCATTCTTTCAGCTCTACTACAGGGGCATATGGCCAGGATTTTACACTTTCTTCATTTCATAGGTTAATACTTCAACTTATAATTTAAAGACAGAGAAAAATAAAACTGAAAACATTTTTTAAATATTTTAAACAAATACTTGAGAGATTTTTATGGATTGAGTTTTACGGGTAAGGAATGGAACTAGGACTGCAGAAAAGATTTCCTTTAATGGGTATTCAAGAAGACATAAGAGCTCACTGAAGCTAGGGGAAAAAATAGAAACACTAACATTGGCAGTAAATAGCTCCAATTATTTTATGACTGAATGAAAGTTGACATTTCTCTATTTTACATTTATGAACTAAAGTTCTAGCAATGAATAAAGATAAAGGTCTAGTGAATTTCATATGCCTGATAGTAAAAATAAAATTACTCTCATTGACAGGTGAAATTGATCTGGCATTTCACAAAAGAAGGTAAATGGATTTTAAAAAATGGTTTTATTCTCCTGCTCTAGGACACTCAAACTATTTAAATAATTTAAAAGTTATTTCTCAAGGAAATAGAGTCGATTTTTTACATCCTGAAGCACATTAATGAGTATTCTGAATTTCCTTCCCTCCAGACAAGTGGTAAGTAAAAAAAAAAAAAAAACCCTGAGAGCTATTGCATTATAGGAAATACAATTTTCTCTTGAGAAAGAATAGTTATTGCTTGCTGCTAAATCTAAGGTGGGGTATACAAAGTGGCTGCGGCTACAACTGTGCAGGGGGAGAGCTCTTCTCTGTTGCTCATCTGGCAACACTCTCTGAAAGCGTCAGCCCTGCCACATTTCAGCTCAGGAGTATTTGTGTCCATTTTCTCCATCTCCTGCAGGCCATGCTTCACATAATGCTTCCTCACTCCAAATTCCTCATTGACATTTTCATTACTGTTTTAAATGTCACTCATTGCAACTGCTAGTACGAAAGTGGCTATTCTACATATACCTTTTTCTGATAACTATGATCTGAACATTCCCCTTCTATTGGCACATGGAAACAGGAAATCGCCCATCACAATTTTGAGCATCTCAGGCCCAAGTAAAATGACATGTGGACTTTCAAATACACAAATCATAATAGTTTTAAACATAAAACCAAAGAAAATGTAAAGGACTTCCGCCAAGATGGAGGCACAAGTGGAAGCACTGTACCTTCTCGCACAACCAAGTTTAAAAACAACAAAGTTTTAGCAACAAAAACACAGCCAAACCACAGAAAATTGAACTATATGGAAGTCTGACAACAACAAACCCTTCAGCCAAACCGGTAAGAGGGGCAGAGCCAGCAGCAGAGTGGGGTCGGGCAGGAAAGATCTACCAGATTGACCCGGGCATGCAAACCCAGGTGCGCCAGCAGCCGTGGGAGGATCCCAGGTGTGGAGTAGCGGGTGGACCCACTGAGGGCGCGAGGCAGTGGAACCACTGAGGGCTGACTCAGGTCACACATTCTCGCGCAGATAACGGGCGAAGGAGCAAGCAGTGAGATGGACCGCACAGGCCCCAGAGGTGGGAAGTGGCAGAGGGGACTGCCATTGTCCCTCTCTAACCCCACCCCCACATACAACATCACAAACCAGTGACCTGGGTGGCCCCACCCTGGTGAACATCTAAGGCTCTGCTCCTCATACATAACAGGCATGAACAGACCAAAACATGGCTCAAGAACAACTCAGAGCCCCAGAGCCAATAAATCTAAGCCATGAAGAAATAGCCAAACTTTCAGATGCACAGCTCAAAACACTGGTGAAGAGGATGCTCACAGAACTGGTTGATTTTAGTCACAAATTAGAGGAACATATGGAAGCTAAACTAATTGAAATGAAGGGAAATACACAGAAAACCAATAGTAATGGAAAGGAAACTGGGACTCAAATCAAAGGAATGGACCAGAAGGAGGAAAAAAAATGATCAAACAGGAAAGGATGAAGAAACAAGAATTCAAAAAAAGGTGGAGAGGCTTGGGAACCTTCAGGACATCTTTAAACATTCCAACATCAGAATTATAGGGGTACCAGAAGGGGAAGAGGAACAGCCACTAGTGGAAAACTTATTTGAACAAATAATAAAGGAGAAGTTCCCCAATCTGGCAAAGGAAATAGACTTCCAGGAAGTCCGGGAAGCTCAGAGAGTCCCAAAGAAGTTGGACCCAAGAAGGAACACACCAGGGCACATCATCATTACATTAGCCATGATTAAAATGAAGGAGAGAATCCTAGAAGCAGCAAGAGATAAGGGGACAGTCACCTACAAAGGAGTTCCCATCAGACTGTCAGCTGATTTCTCAAAAGAGACCTTACAGGCAAGAAGGGGCTGGGAAGAAGTATTCCAAGTCATGAAAGACAAGGACCCGCATCCAAGATGGCTCTATCCAGCAAAACTTTCATTTAGAATGGAAGGGCAGATAAAGTGCTTCTCAGATAAGATCAAATTCAAGGAGTTCATCATCACCAAGCCCTTATTATATGAAACGTTAAAGGGACTTACCTAAGAAAAAGAAGATAAAAAAGGTGAACAGTGAAAGGACAGCAAACTCACAGTTATTAAGAACCACATCTAAAGCAAAAGCAAACTAAGAGGACAGCTAGATCAGGAGCAGAACCATAGAAATGAAGATCCCATGGAGGGTTAGCAACAGGGGAGTGAGAGAAGGAGTAGGGGGGAGAAGGTTCAGAAAATAAGTAGCATAGATGATAGGTAGAAAAAAGATAGGGGGGAGGGCAAGAATAGTAGGGGAAATATAGAATCTAAAGAACTTGAGACACGTGGTCATAAACTAAAGGGGAGAATGGTGGGAGAGGGGTGTGCAGGATGGAGGGGAATGAAGGGGGGAAATAGGACAACTGTAATGGCATAATTAATAAAATATATTTTAAAAAAAGAAAATGTAAGTAGTTATATGCCATCATAGCTATCAACTCTAAGCTTAAATGGTTCTAACCAAGGTTTTTGCCACACTAACACTGGCTTGTATTGACTAGTATACATTTAATAGTTTTCTTTTTCCTGTTGACTATGTGTCTCTTGTACCTCAGAAGTCCTTCCTTTTCCATTATTTTTGAATTAGATTTATTGGGCTGACACTGATTAATAAAATTACATAGCTTTTAGGTGTACAATCACATAACATACCACCTGCACATTGCGTCGTGTGCTCACCACCCAAAGACTTGTCTCCTTCCATCACCATTCATTTGACCCCCTTGATCACCCTTCATTCTCTCCTCACCATTCATTTGACCCCCTTCCATCACCATTCATTCTCTCCTCACCATTCATTTGGACCCCCTTGATCACCATTCATTCTCTCCTCACCCTTTTTACCTCTGGTAACCACCATACTGTTGTCTATTAGTTTGCAGCCTTCAGTTTTATGTTCCTCATTCTGAGAGGGTATTTTTTTAACTTGACCCCAAAGACAAGAAAAGTAAAAGCATAAATAAATGAATGAGACTACACCAAACTAAAAAGCTTCTGTACCACACACACTCACACATACAAAATGCCATCAACAAAACAAAGAGAATGACCTGAAGGGGAGAAGATACTTGCAAGCTTACTTCCAATAGGGGCTAAACATCCAAAATATATAAAGAACTCATACAACTCAACAACAGCAAAATAAACAATCCAATTAAAAAAAGGGGGCCAGTTCATGTCCTCTACATGAACTGACACTTTTTCCAAGAAGACACACAGATGGCCAATAGATGTATGAAAACATCCTCCACTTCACTAACCATCCAGGAAATGCGGATCAAAACCACAATTAAGTACCACCTTGTACCTGTTCGAATGGCTATTATCAATAAGTCAGGAAATGACAAATGTTGGCAAGGCTATGGAGAAAAAGGAACCCTCACTCACTGCTGGTGGGAACGTAAACCGATAGAGCCACATGGAAAACAGCGTGGGGGTTCGTCCAACAATTAAGAATGCAGCTACCATACTACCTGGCAATCTCTCTTCTGAGTATGTGACCCCCAAATTTGAAAACATTGATTATAAAGATAGACGTACCTGCAATTCTTAACAGTCAGCCATGCCCCACCCAACATTATAGAAAGTCTCGACTGACAGTTATAGCCTTGAAGTTATTTCTCTGTTTGGGATTAGTAGCAAAGAAATGGTAATTTTCTCAGATGTAAAGAAAAAAATCACAACCAAAACCTAAAAGCAAATCAAGTAGCACTCTAACGTTAAAGCAGAGAAATTAATGTTTATCTTATGGGGAGTCAACGTAATTTTCTAGATAAAATTGTTAAGGGTTATTTCAACAAATTCATACAGTTGGATTTATTTTGCCTTTACCTCGTAATGATTATAATATTCCGAATCTTAGATGTCATTTAACCTTACCTTCCTGCGGGGCTAGAGCTGCTATCTTCACTTTCCCATTGTTCATTTTTACTTCTTGGAATTGGGGGCTGCAGCATTTCGGCCGCTAATGGATCAGCATCATTCTCTTCTCGACCGATCCATTCCCCAATCACACAGGGTCTCAGAAGAGAGGAGTTAAAGGCCACTGCTTCCTGAAGAGGAGAAAAGAATGTGCCGCAAGAGATTATTTACTCGGATCACTAGGACAACGAGGAAATAATATGGCTAGAGTTCCAACTGCTTCCTCACATCAAAAGGTTCCTTTTTTTCTTTCTGAATTAACTTCAAATTTCAGTTCTCTCCATCACTATGGGATCACTTACTCTATGTTGTTTGTGCTGATTCCTGAAGGTCACTGTCACGAAGGACCCAGGAGGGAACTCGTCTATTTCGGTCTGGAAGCTGCACAAGTGTTCTCAGGAAGCAGGTACAGGACAAAAGTTTGTGGTCAAAGGAAGAGTGTGCTGTGTGGCCCACACAGGGAAGGAACTTGGTGTCACTGGGAATTTTAAGTAATTTTGCAGGAGGGAAGTGGAACAGGGTCAGGACACCAGGGAAAGAGGAGACGGAGCTGGAAGGTGCATTGCCTCCAACTGGGGGCACTTTGGACTTTTAGGATCCAAGCAGGGTGGTGTCACTGACAGGTATCTTATGCTAATTCAAAAACGTCAAAGTGACCTCCTTTCATACACAAATAGATGTATGAAAACATACTCCACTTCATGGATATGATGTGGCTTTTTAAGTGATATTTTCAATATTTGTTATTTAATCATTTAAAATGATATGAGAATACTGAATACATGTAATTACTAAGACTATCTTGGTAAGTGGAAAAGAGCAGGTTAGAAAATAATACCAATTTGCCCTGGCTGGTGTAGCTAAGTGGATTGGGCAAGGGACTAAACCCAAAGGGCCGTGGTTCGATTCCCAGTCAGGGCACATGCCTGGGTTGCAGGCCAGTTCCCAGCAGAGGATGCATGAGAGGCAACCGTACATTCACATTTCTCTCCCTCTCTCCTTCCCTTCCCCTCTAAAGATAAATAAACAAAATCTTTTTTAAAAATAATAATATCTATTTTTATTATCTAATTTTGTTTAAAAATTCACATGGATGTATATCCATCATTTATACACTAATCTATTAATTTATTCCTTGTCTTATATTTTATTAATACCTACCATGTGCCAGATACTGCTTGATTTGTTGGAAGAAACAATTATAAGACTAAATTTTAATACTTTTATCTGAATGTGGGAACCACAGGTTAATTTTAATTTATCTTTTTGGCACAGCCATGTCTTTTTAATATTCTATGATAAATATGCATTAGTCTTATAGTGAGAAAATATCTAATCTAAAATCTCGATCTGAGGGGCACAGGCTTTGCTCAAATTATGTTTAGCTGTAATTTTCAGTATCACAAGAGTCTTGATCAATTCCTTAAAAATTCAGGCTTGGTCTCTGAGTCTTTACAATCTTCAGAAACAATATACAAATAAAATGATACAACAGAAACATAGTATTACAATATATACAATATAATATTAATTAATATACCAATAAAACACATTATGCAATATTTGAAATATGACTAGGACATATTTGATAGACATTTACCCGAGTGATAACAAGCAATAGAAAGTAGTTGTATATCTTACTATTGATTCCCAGCCCACAATGAAAAATGTAGCAAATATTTTAGTAATAATGTTGGTGTAACTTAGCAACTAATCTGAATTCCTTCCATATTCATGTTCCCAGAGTCAGAAAATCAAAGCACTATAATGGCTTTCAGCTGTGAAGTCATATAATCAAATTAACATTTTATAATATCTAGAAAGGCATATTCATCTGCCACTATTTAATATTATTTGAAGTATGAGAATTAAAATTAACAAAATTGTTAAATTTTAAACCTAAATTTGCTTCTGAAAGCAAATCAAGACAAAGACATGTTTTAGGATTTAAAAAATGTATAAATTCATTTACAGCTTTAGAATCAGTTTTGGCCTGTGTGTCTCTGAAATGTTACTTCTCTGAATTTCACTTTCTCCAACTGCAAAATGGGATGATGGGAATTACAAGACTGACTGTGTCAGATGAATTACTACACTGGGGTAGCACAGTTAAACTAGAGAATTCTGTACCTACACTAGCAGACCACTTATTTAAGGATGTGGACTGATTCAAACCACTTCTCTATATGTGATATTCCTGGGGAAAAACACGGTAAACTGAACCTCAGGAATGGGCCAGCTGGGTAAGAACAGGCACTTAGCTGTAAATATGAACAGAGAAATGAAGCAGAGAATTGATGAGGCAGGTTTAATTAAAAGTTTCTTTATGATAAAAATTGTATCAGTTCAGTTTTTTTTATTTGAGTTTTTGATCCCTAGTAAATTTCTGCATATCAACTGTTAAAAGTTAGTAACTTTGTATTGTCATGCCTTAGCCTTAGGCTGTGCAAGTGGAATTCACTATGCTTTGATGTTCGCCCTTGGATGTAGTTTCGAACGTGAATCTACTTTGGGGCTCTCCCCTGGAGGGTTCTCAACTCAACTCTCAAGGGGGAGTGACTCAAAGATCCATCCAGATATTGCTTCCAGCTCCAAGTTCCATGCTCTGAAGTTATATTCTATAGACAGTACATTTCAAAGGTTGGGTAATTAATTCAAAGTTATTCTCACTTGCATCAGGGGGCAGAACTGGGCTGAGAGATTTGTCTTACTACAGGCTCAACATCGAAGGGCGGGGCCAAAGAAATTGACTGTTGTAAAAAGAAATAGGTTCTGACACCACACATGAGAAAGTAAAATAGAATTTAGAGTTGAGTATGTTCAAAAGGTGAGAGCTGCAGAGAATCTGGAAAAAAAAACCCTCCTTGGTTGCTTATTTGAAATGAAATAAATAAATAAATGAGAGAGGCCAGTGCTGCTGGAGCGCAGAGCAAGGAAAGATAAACAGTTTGATATGAGGTTGGTTTAACTCCAAGAGAAGTTCAGTGAGAAGTGGCTGATGCACAGAGCAATGTGAAGGACATGCAAACAAGGGCAGGGGAGTCAGGAGGTGAGTGTTTTATAGATGAAGAAAAATGTGACTCTACTATTTCTTTTGTTTTCCTTTTTTTGTTACTCTACTATTTGTTACTCTAATAAAAATACTCCACTATTTTTATTTTTTGGAACGCACAAAGCTTTTAAAAAAAATAGCAGCCCTTTAAAAATTATTGTATTTCTAAACTTTCAAGAAAATAGTCTGTTTACCTGTAATAAATTAAGATAACACACTTTTCTTTGGACGAACTTCTTATATTGAGCAAGCTAAGTGAATATATTTCCATAAGTCTTTACGGAGCATTTTATCAGAGACACCAGTTCTCAGCCCTCCTCCATAGCTCATCACAGACATCAACAGAAAATGTTTTTAAGTGCACACCAAATAAGACACATTTTGGAAAATATTTTAAGTGTACAGATAAACAAATCATTTAAAATTTCAGTGCTAAACAATGTAAATCCCAATGATTCCTTCAAAACCTATAAATTCACTTTGCCCTTCTAAAACTAGAGGCCTCTAGACATTGAGGTTCTTAAGCAAGTATACTCAAATTTAATGAGAAAAGCATTCCCAGTCAAAAGTTCTCCCAAAGGGAACAGGTTTGCTCCGTATTTCCTACCAGCAGGAAACGCAGCTGTCCGAGGAGTTCCCTTCAACCAGGCCTCCTCTCCCCAAGTAGCCTACCCAGGGCCCGCCTGCAATGTGTTCAACTTCTCTTACTCCTGGTTATCAGCACAACATTTGTTTATATTCCATGTTATTTGAATGTTTTCTCTTCTTTATAAAGCAACATGTTCGTGCAAGGCTGTATCACACCTTAAATTCCTTTGTTTCCTCCATAATAACTCGCAAACTTGAATTTCATAAAATAAGTACAAAAATTTGTATGGATTAAATTAAAAAGAATTCAGAGAATCACAACAATGCCTATGTGGTGATTTATGAAGTATCTTCATGTCTAACTAAAAATCATGTCAGTGATTCATAGACAACACTGATTAGGCCATTTCAGAAGAAAGTCTGTAGATGATAATCTATTAGGAATAGTACAATATTTCTTATAAACTATTAAATTTGAGTAAATTATTTTAATTCTGCCAGTTCACAATCACACATTAAGTGTCTGGTTTAACAGAAAACCCCACTAAATGTTTGCACATGATAATTATCCTTAAACTAATCTACACACTGAACCTGAGTTAGCAAATAGAGAAACTTAGTGCAAACACACAGTTAACAGTTCTCTTCCAACTGGACCTTTTTTCCAGCTTTACTGAAATATAATTGACATATAACACTCTATAAGTTTAAAGTTATATAATATGATATATGAAGATAATACAAAATGATTATCACAAGATGGCTAGTACCTATATCCGTCACCTAACAAAATTACCTCATTTTTTGTGGTAAGAACTTTTAAGGTCTGGTCTCTTAGCAACTTTCAAGTATACAATATATCAATAGTATTGTTAAGTATAGTCACTGTGCTGTGCGTTAGATCCCAGAACCGGCTCCCCTCATAACTGGGAGTTTGTACCCTTTGACCACTTGCATCAGTTTCCCCAGATCCCTACCCCTGGCAACCACCACTCTACTCTGCTACTGAGAGTTAGGTTATTTAGATTCCACGTGTAAGTGAGATCATACAGCATCTGTCTTTCTCTGACATTCAACTTAGCACGATGATCTCAATGTACATCCATGTTGTTACAAATGGCAGGGTTTCCTTGTTTTTATGAATGAGTAGTATTTGTGTGTATGTGTGAAAACACCAAAGGAAAGTGAGGGAACAAAGGATCAGCCCAGGAATATTTATTCCAGGTCTATCAATTACTAGTTTTGAGACCTTGGAAAAAATCATTAAATGACTCTAGCCTTAGTGTCCTCATTCATAAATCAGAAAAAAGGTAACCAGTGCCTTGGACTGGGGCAAGAACTAAATTCAATAACGTATGAGAAAATGCCCAGCATGCCTCCTAGCTCAAAGGGGTGTCTGATACTGTCCCTCCTCGTCTCCTCTGCTGTCTTCTCCACCCTTCCACCCATGATCTGAAGCATTTTACTCTTATAATAGAAATTTTCATGTAA